CTTTTTTTTAATTACATTTTTTCCATCGGCAATTCCTCAGCTCTGGAAGGTCGCATCGACTTGAAACTTGGTGGATATTAAAATTTATCTCTTAAAATATGTCTGTGTCAATTTTCATCAAAATCCGTATATTTTTTGTATGTTTTTTTAGTCGTTTTATCAACGGCTTCCACGAAACCTTACAAATTTTGTAATTGCACTTTTACAACTCTGGGTCAAGAAACAATTGTGCATCGTAATTGTTTTTTTTTCTGTGTAAATTCATTGAATTCATCGATTGCATTTTTCATAAAATCAATAGAGTAGCTGCTCTTTCCACAGTTGAAACAATTTGTTTCAAAATGAAAAATTTGCTGGAAAATTAATTCAAATTATCAAATTTCTTTCCCCACTCTTCGCCGCATGAATTTTTATCACCACCTGAAGCAAATTTAAGAGCTTGCATGTATGATCGGAGCTTTTTATCTCGAAATGGCATACAGTATTGGCAGTCACCATCACATTCGAAGTAATTACCGAACAAATTTTTGATTTTTCAAAGTATTTTGCAAATTCAATATCTTTTTCAGTTACTTGATACTGGGCACACTAATCCTTGTGCTAACACTTCTACTTTGCTTCGTGATTTGGTTACACCAAGAATTGACACCGACACCGATACCGACACCAAAATTTTACACGTAAATATCGCTCATACTTTTAGTGCAGTAACGTTATGTGTGTAAAAATTATGTAAGTTCACACGATTTTTTCTTTCGTTTACATTCGATATGAATTTTTTAGTCCAGATCGTGAACCTATGGACGAAATGTTTCCACATTTGACACCAACACTGAGATCCAGATATAACTTGTAAATATCATTTATATTTCCAGTGCAGTAGCCCATGAAAAAATGTTTACCAGATCTACAGCTATATTTTGCCATTAACTTGGTCTACCGCCGAATATAACCCACTTTTATGGGTGAAATGGCCTGTAGACCACATCTACGTGGTCAGAAATGTCAAAGCTGGCGACCAATTTTGCCGAACATTATAGGAAGTCAATATACGAATTTGGTCTATATCATGATCTAAGCTCGACAAAATACAGCTGCAGACCTAGTCTACATTTCTTCATGGGAATGTTATGTGTCTAAAAATTAAGTTCACATGATTTTTTTTTTCGTTCACATATGATATGAATTTACAGTCCAGATGTGGAGGAATCAATCAAACGTTTGATGAAGAGCAACAACAACAACAACAACTACTACAAGAAAAAGATTTATAGTCCATCTTTTAATTATGGCCCACATAGAGAACCGAATTTGTGAACCCTGCGAATTCCATTGGTGAAACGTCAAACTACCAATAGATTATTTCAAATTTATTGGTAAATTCAAATCCACTCAAGTCACTTGTATTGTTATACTCTATATATATATACACTAATAGAATCTAATTAATATTAAATTGAACGCGTTAGAATAAAAACAACGCATAATATGCTCTCCAAAAATATAGAAAGAACGCGGAGACTGATTGACTTAGTAATGAGTCTTCTTTATGTATAAATGTCAAATTTTGCATCGAACACATCAAATTTCCGAGGATTTTTTTCTCTGTGTTATAATTTGGATTACTGTGCCATGAAAGTCGTCTTGGGTGCCGGGAATGGTTTGTCAACAAAACGTTAATGAGCATTGGCGATGCAGTTATTATCAACGACCAAATTCGCTGTTGAATCGAATATGTATCAGAATGCACTGATATCACCGTATAAATGGCCCATTCGATTTATGACAAATAAAAAAATAATTTCATTTCGATTTAATGCACAACAAGTTGTAACAAAGTTCAAATGCATATGCTTATGACGGATTTTAAAGAGAATATTTAATTTCCACTAATAAAATGCACAAATAAAATGGAAAAAAAACCTAATAAAAATGAAACGAAAAATTAAAGAAAAATGGCAATTTTTTTTTATTCAGAATAGATGTTATTTGGTTTGAATTTTTATTTCAATATCAGAAAAAAATAGAATGAAACAAGAAAAATTAAAAAAAAATGTTGATCAAAAGTAGGTATTAGGTAAAGTTTCTTACATTCAATTCAATAAAACTACACCCCATTGCAATTTGTTCATTGCAGGCTCGCGTTCTTGGTGAGTCAAAAACGACATCGGTCCTCTAGGCAAGGAAAGCATGAAACTGTCGTAGTACACAGATACTTTCGATGGTTCTGTATGTGTGACACTGTGTACGCAAACGACAATGTTCACTTTCAATATACGAACAAAATCATCTTGGTTGAATTGTCTAAATATTTAATTACAAAATAATCGCTCAGAAAAAGATTTAATATTCTACGTCATTTCTCAAAGAAATTCGTCCGAATAAGCAATTCTTTGATGGTCTAATTGCCAGGAATGATGTGGAACATGTCTAAAATTCAGTGTCCAACGGCTGTTCAAAATATTGAATGATGTCATTCACGATGTCATCCGAACTATAGTTGAGGTTCATATTGGGAATGCATAAAAAAAACATGTGAACATTATTACACAATACACATTCAACCTTAGCAACTAGAATATGTTCAGTAATTACCTTAGATTTGGTAACGAATATTGTGTCGGATAAGGTGGTGGTAATTGCCAATTCTGAGGGATATTGGGAGAAGAGGAGCTCGGAGAAGAGCAGCTTGATGTTGCATTTTCCTCAAGTGATGCTATAAATGTATTTATGGAAAAGAAATTAGGAATTTGAATTAATTTTGCTGCAAATTTGCCACTTGTACCAAATGAATTAAGCTCACATTGTTTTTGAACGTATCCTTTCTTAGTTGCATTTGGATATAGTAGCGGATAAGGTGATGGTGATTGCCGATTCTGTGTGCTATTTAGAGAGAAGAAGCTCGAAAATGAGGGGCTCGGAAAAGGGGAGCTCGGACAAAAGGAGCTTGGTGAAGAAGAGCTTGGAGAAGAGGAACTTGATACTTCATTTTCCTCAGGTGGTGCTAAAAATGAATCTATGGTAAAAGGTCGAAAAGTAATAAAGAATTTGAATTTTATTTGGCTGTAAATTTGTCGTTTTTAACAAATGAATTAAGCTCACATTGTTTTGGAACATATCCTTTCTTAGTTGCATTTGGCTGTGTGAAGTATTCAGCGAATGCCTTATACTTTGGAATCATTCCAGGATACAAATGTGTACATTTATGGTGATTTTTAATAAGATCGCTAATCGAACGAAACTTTTTGTCGTCTTCCTTATTTTCAAAGTCCGCATGAACAAAGGGTTGCATATGTTGAACTTCCTTTGTTCCATAGGCATTGAGTTGAACCCAAGCAACCGAAATGCCTCCAAAAATGCAAAGACAACAAAAACATTGATCATATGAATGGGCAAGCGGAATAATGAAACGTAATTCTGTTTTTAAATGAAGTGCCTCTGAGAAAATTTTGCAGTAAAAAAGCCCCACAAAAATATTGTCTGATAAAAATTTGTATGAAAATCTTATTCAGACAATATTTTTGTGGGGCTTTTTTACTGAAAAATTTTCTCAGAGGCACTTCATTTAAAAACAGAATTACGTTTCATTATTCCGCTTGCCCATTCATATGAGATTCAAAGATAATGGTAATGAAAATGTGTTACTTACCCGATGCACTGTCGGAAAATCGTAGCAAAAATGTACCCGGTTCACATTTGAGAAGCTCTTCTGTGGCTTTATCTTTGCTAATGAATCCTGCGATAAGACCATTTTGCCATTCTTTGCTGAGATGCACTCGCGTCAGTTGTGTTGCTTCGTAGAACCAAGTGAAAAATGTGAAATCTGTTCGTGCCGGCATTTTATCCTTGCCAAATTGTTCCCACGACATTAAAGGATCTTGGTCCGGCACCGGCGATGCACCGAACACTTCTTCATCTGCAAATCTCACTTTCAGTTAATTTTCAAACTTTGAAATGCAAAATTTCCCACAAGTTATGAAGTGATACTTACACAAGCTTTGCAAGTGTTCATCCGTCAAATCGCAGCCAGTTTGATAGTGGAATATCATTTGTAGAGCCCACTTTATATGTGACCACGGCACTTGAGTTGGAACAGCAAATAAAGTTCGACCAATCTCAAAGAATGCATTGTCCCATGCGATGGTAGCCCACCCATTTCTCTTTTGGTTTACATTCGATGCAACCGTTACCGGAACTGACATCGTCCACACCTGTTAAAACACGATGTATAACAAAAAAAAACCAAAAAAAGAGAAACGAAATTAAAAGAAGAATAAGCAAATTCTTTTTCATTGACATATTTCGGAATAAAACTTACACGAACTGACAAGTTGATGGGTTCCAACATTTGTAGATCGGTTTCGAAAAGCAGACAAAACTTTTCATCCATTACAGATTTGTTGGTTCCTCTTTCGGAATTTCTTTTAATATTTGTCAGTTTCATTTTATTTAAATGGCATTCTAAACGCTGATCGTTCGATGGACTGATTTCAAAACAGCATTTCTCCATATCGATTTTACCTGAATTCAAATTTTCAGGGCGTTGCTGTTGATGCTGTTGGCTTGTTTGTGATTCTATTCAATTCAGAAATGGAAAATTTTGATAAACGTTTATTCTATCGCATCTATCCATGATTTTTCAGTTAGTTTCTAACTTAAACTTGAATTAGACAATCAACATTTTTCGTTTTTTTTCTGCCCGATTATCATTTTTCTATTGAAATTATTAAATTTTTCTTATTATTGACAATGGAAGAAACTCACCCGATAAAAACGAAACCATAACCTCTGCTGGATTTTGGGCGATAGCAATGTATTCGGGCAAAAGAACGCGAACACTGGCTTCAAATCTGTTTATTTATAAAATAATAAGAGTTTGTTTCGATTTATCATCAAAAATTTCGGTTAATTATTTTAAAATCGATATGTTTAGTTCAAAAAGTGGGAATTTCACCTTGTGCCTTCGGTTATGACTTGAGGTGGCTGTTGATCTACGACAAAACTCGACTGAACCAATTTTTGTAGCATATTGGTGATATCACTAGAGGCTTTCGCTTCCAAACTATCAACACAATTCAATTGACCATAACATTCATGAATTATGCCCAACACGCTCATCGTACCTGAAGCACATTCATACAATCCCTCAAATTGTGTCTGAATGTCATCAAGTGCACTTCGAAGCTGAGGATTTTTGTTGTGCGAATCAGTTTCGGTTTTGATGTTTTTATCGCCGAATCCAGCCAAGATTTGATCATATTTCCACTTGGTCAATCGTTTGTCAATGAGAATTTGTTGTGTTTCATTCAACAAATTAAAGACGGTTTGAATCGATACCAATATTTGGCCACATTGTTGATCAATATTCGACCGAATGCGATTTACTTCATCCATCCAAACACGTTTTTGATCCTCAATCTCAGTTGTGCTTGGAACATCGTTCAATTCTTGAATTCTTTGTTGCAATTGATCGAATTGCTGAAAATCGTCTATAAATTTCGTTCTGAATGGCTCTACAGCTGCTTTATTTTCAGTGGTCAGTCTTCGTAATTCTTGAATTTTGTTATCGATTTGGCATTTAACACTCACATCACTCTCCACATTATTCAGTTGTGGATTGGTTATTAATTCAATAAAAGTTAACGCATTTTTTTCTTCCATTTTTTCAAATAATAACACAAAACAACACTTTGAATGGAAAAGTGCAAAATAATTTTACTAAAATTAGTTTGAAATTGAATGAAATATGAAATGAGTATTTGAATTTGAATCGGAGTAACACAATTTTTAGAGAAATACGTTCACACACAACGAAGATGAGACGCGTTTTGAGAGTCAAAATACACAACGCTGTATAAATATTGTGAGCATATAAGTACCGAATACAGCAACAAATGTGTATATTTATATTACAACAACAACTGTAAATAGAAAAAAACGCTGTGTCTCGTTTTGTTTGGCGGTTTTTTTAATACGCTGTTTTCATTCAGCGGATCAGTTATTGCTTGTTATCATTGCTACCGCTGATAAAGTGAATAATAATGACATCGTTATCTCGTGCACATGTAAAAATTATTTCTCCAGAAATGTTTTCTTCTTTCAACGTCTATCTCTTGATTTGTGCTATAGTCGATTGTGAGCAGTGTTCACAGGCAATAACGCATATTATACACAAATTTTGGACACTGAATTGATTCTAAGCCGCCTGATTGACGAATAATATTGTTCAACACAGACATTCGTTGTGATAGTATACTGTTTGAGTAATATTCTTGACCTTTGGCAATGCTGTGAATTGAACTCATTCTAATGGAATCAGCCCGAATGACACAATACACGACAAGCGAAAGCGGAAATTATTTTGCGTTGCATTCAACATAACAATGGAGAACTTGATCATCACTATTAGTGCGTTCCAATTTGATTTCCATGGAAATAGACCAAATTGATGTTTAATGGAAATGTTCAGCTTATCGGTTTGAATTGATCTTTTCAAAACCATTACAGGACTCATGAACTGTATATGAACAATAGCTATCGGATAGTATTATGATTTATAATTATTAACAGAAGTAAAAAATAGATCGAGAGTTGTTTGATATTATTTTACTTTGTTGTTTCACAACACATTTTTTTCGTGCACTACATGAATTATGGGTTTGTCGAAGTAAGGTTTATGGACTAATGGTTTCCATTTCAATGCCTCTAGAGCTTATTTAAAATAATTGCATTGGACGTGATGGCGAATGTTGTAGTCGATGAGATGACAGCCAATTGTGTGCTATTTAGAGAAGAGGAGCTTGATACTGCATTTTATTCAGATGGTGGTGAAGATGTATCTACGGTAAAGAGTCAAACAATAATTTTAATGTAAATGATACAAATGTGTCATTATTGCTAAATAGATTCAGCATTACATTGTTTTGGGACGTATCCTTTATTAGGTTGTGAGGTAAAGTATTCAGCGAATGCCTTATCCTTTGGAATCATTCCAGGATACAAATGTGTACATTTATGGTTATTTTTAATAAAATCGCCAATCGAACGAAACTTTTTCTCGTCTTCCTTATTTTCAAAGTCCGCATGAACAAAGGGTTACATATGTTTAACGTCCGTGTATCAATTGACATTGAGGTCAATCCAAGCAACTGAAATGCCTCCTAAAATCCAAAGCCAACAAAAACATTGATCATATGAGATTCAAACAAGACCGCAGAGCTTCGCTTCGCTCCGCTCTGCGTTCTTGAGTTTTTAGTTACCTAATCTATTTTGTTGTTTCACAACAAACTATTTTTTGGCGCACTACATGAAATGTATTTCATCGAAGTAACTTTGAAGTAATATATCGACCATTCCACACGAAATGGACCAAGAATTGGATCGACCCTCTCCGAATTGGCTGAAAATTTGCTTGGAGTCTTGTTTTCGGTAGAAAATGAGAAAACCAAAATAAGTAAGTGGCCTACATTTTTGAGTTCACCCAGTGTACATTTTTCGAAAAATTGAAAAAATCGAAAAAAAGGGTTTGCGCCAACTGAAAACTAACTAAGAAGTAGTTGACACATTACCAAACCGTTGGTACCGTTGGAAAGATAATTGATGGGGCTACAAAAATTGCGAAGTCACCTACCCACTTTGACCCCATTGGGGCCTCCAAAAATGGAGTCAAAGTACTAAAAGTGAAATATCTCAAAAGGGTGGTCGATTTTTGGTATGTTTTTTTTTGCATTTTTCTGCGCTTATGTCGCGCCGCTTCAGGTGGAAAAATAAAATTTCGTGTATAGGTCATTCAATTTTTTGTATTTGGCCTCGGAAAGTAGATCATATCTAATTTTTCAGCGTTTTTGTGGAAAAAATGGTCGAAAATGGCCTGTGACGATTTTTTGACTGAGAAAACTGCTATTTTTTCGTCTAAATACATAAAGAAATGACCATTTGAATATCGGTTTACCTATAAATTTGGTCTAAATCGACATTTCTCCATTAAACAAGCGAATGGTCAAAATCCGCATACAAAATCACACTTATGGCATAGAAAACTCACCTATGGTAGCCTGTTATGAGTCTATTTCCATGTAATTTTGGACGAGGAATCGATTTAGACTTACCTCAATCCCGTTTGATGAACCTAAAATGCCGAAAAATGGCCCTGTTCCAGCTTATGTTTTCGACTCGCCATATTTTATACAGAAAATCACTTTTTCTACTTAAAAAATGCCTTATTCTGCGTTCCAACATCAATGGCTTTTATTCTTTGAAGAAATAAACCAAAATATACCAACTTTTTGAATATTTTGGTCTCAATTTAGCGTTTTGTATAGATATTGGTCCAAAAAACGGTCATTTTGTAGGGGAGGTACCTAAAATATGCATAATTTGATACTTTTGTGTTGAAAAACTGCTATTATTTTTGAAAAATAATGGGGGTCTGTGAACAATAATTTATCCATTTGCTTATACTTTGGTCTCAAATCGACTTTTTCATTGGAAAATTCACTCAAAATGAAGATTTTACACATAAAACTCTGAATTGAGTAGAAAAAATGGTATATTTTGGTTTATTTCTTCAAAAAATAAAAGCCATTGATGTTGGAACGCAGAATAAGGCATTTTTGAAGTAGAAAAAGTGATTTTCTGTATAAAATATGGCGAGTCGAAAACATAAGCTGGAACAGGGCCATTTTTCGGCATTTTAGGCTCATCAAACGGGATTGAGGTAAGTCTAAATCGATTCCACGTCCAAAATTACATGGAAATAGACTCATACCAGGCCACCATAGGTGAGTTTTCTATGCCATAAGTGTGATTTTGTATGCGGATTTTGACCATTCGCTTGTTTAATGGAGAAATGTCGATTTCAGACCAAATTTATAGGTAAACCGATATTCAAATGGTCATTTCTTTATGTGTTTAGACGAAAAAATAGCAGTTTTCTCAGTCAAAAAATCGTCACAGGCCATTTTCGACCATTTTTTCCACAAAAACGCTGAAAAATTAGATATGATCTACTTTCCGAGGCCAAATACAAAAAATTGAATGACCTATACACGAAATTTTATTTTTCCATCTGAAGCGGCGCGACATAAGTGCAGAAAAAATGCAGAAAAAACATACCAAAAATCGACCACCCTTTTGAGATATTTCACTTTTTATACTATGACTCCATTTTTGGAGGCCCCAATGGGATCAAAGTGGGTAGGTGACTTCGCAATTTTCGTAGCCCCATCAATTACCTTTCCAACGGTACCAATGGTTTGGCAATGTTTCAACTACTTCTTAGTTAGTTTTTAGTTGGTGCAAACCCTTTTTTTCGATTTTTTCAATTTTTCGAAAAACTTACACTGGGTGAACTCAGGAATGTGGGCCACTTACAGGCCTAAGATCTTGGTTTTCTCATTTTCTACCGAAATCAAGACTCCATGCAAATTTTTAGCCAATTCGGAGAGGTTCGATCCAATTCTTGGTCCATTTCGTGTGGAATGGTCGATATTTATTTGCAAAATGAATTACAAGATCTTGGTTTTATTTCTTTTTTGAAATATACTGCCTTTGGTTATTAAATGAAAAATATGAGCATTGAATCTAAAATCACTTTAATTCTGTTCAAGACACAGAAAATATTATACGAAAAATTAATGTAATTTTTAAACAACATTTGATAATAAAAATTTGATTGGCGCTTTAAAATATTATGCACCTATTTGTCGTTACTGCCACTGTTTTAAATTAAATAAAAAATATGAGCATAAAATTTAAATTCAACATAATTTGTTTCAACACTCAAAAAGTATCTAGACAAAAAAAAAAGCAGATTAGTAGCTCTACATTTCATGTAGTGCTAAAAATATGTACTTTTCAGATTGACTTATTTACCAAGTACACTGTCGGAAAATCGTAGCAAAAATGTACCCG